CTCCAGTCTAGCACTGGTAAGTAGCATCCAGCTATGGTCAAGCTCTGGGCCTTGGTTGGTGTATGAATGCTGCCTCATCCTTCAGGTGGTGAACTATCTACAAAGGAAGTGTATCAGCCAAAGCAAGAGCCTCAGAGATGCTCTGTAGCCTGCTGGCAAACCCTGCTGAATCTGCATCCACAGACGAGCACTGACAACATCAGAGCACGAAGAAGGCAGAAACCTCTGATTAGACTCTGTGTGTGCTTGGGCCAGAAAGGCGCACAAGGCAAAGCACTGGCGGTGGCAAACGTTCTCACAGTGAGCAGTTCTGTGAGCCATGCTGCAGAAATTGATTGCCATGTGGAGGCCTCTGCGGTCACCTACACACATGGCAACTGACTGCCTCCCCTTTTCTCCTTCCAGTCAGTGACACTTTGGCTCTTGACCTGGCAGGACTTGCAACATCATGGAAAATCAATTTATTACTAAAAACAGCAGATACAAGCCAGGTACAAATAAACACATCACAGAAATTTCAAACATATTTGGCAGCTTTCATGCTTACATCACCCTCTATATCTTCAAGTAGCACCAACAATGACACACATTCCAAAACACTATATTGACATCTGTGTCAATGCACTCAACTGTATCTGACTGATAGTGATATTTTTACTTTTGTGCTTAAATTAAGGTGTCTTAAAACATGGACCATGATAACTCCCTCCCTAGGATGGTCATATTCCGCCAGTGCTTATTTATGTGAATTCACTAATTCCTGTACAAAGCAAAATACCATAACACCATGAAAAATCCATGTCAGATATCCCACGGTCACTGTCACATTGACACTGATGTTTTCTTGGAGTTTTCCATCTAAACTGCATATTTTACACTCCTCTAGTGTGAAAATTTGATGAACTGGGAACAAGCCCTTTTCTGTTGTCTTCTGGAATTCTTATAGGAATCTTTTTGGTCATAAATACTACTATTTTTTCTACAGTCGCAGAAATGAGAAAGCAAATACATTCCTCTAGCTCAAGTTTTCTAAACTCGTAGGCATTTCTTATGTTAATCCCATTAACCTGACTTACACTGTGGTTTTTTGTTTATTTGTTTGTTTTGTTTTGGTTTGATTTTTTTTTTATTTTCACAAACATTGTTTATTTCTAGGTAATCTAATGTTTCATAATCATGACTTCCAGTAATTTTTCTTTGCTGAGGTGACTTGAGTTTTCTTTGGAGTGTGAATTTGTGCACCTATATTAATAGTTTGGTGCTCTCACCACCCATGCTGGGGAAATTCTCAATCACATGTATAATGCAGCAGGTGGGATCCATCCAGTCCTATCTAGACCTCTGTCATGTAGAAGTCTACATCTAATATAGGCTCCCTTCATACACGAGGAAGAACTAAGCATCTTTAGAGCATGAGTCATGTCATCCTAAAGTAGACGCCTGAAATAGGTCAGATGATTTGTGCCCTAAAATTGCTCCTATTTATCTATGTTAAAGAACAAGTAGTTTATATCTTGATGTCTCCATTCTAGCAGCCTCGAGTGAAATGAGATTACTTAATAGTCTTATATCCAGGTTTATATCATCCTTCAAAATACCCTAAAAATCCTTATTTGTCAAGAAAACTGAAAATAGCATTACTTTTTATATTTTTATATTTTTCTCCATTTGTAGAAAGCTTTTAAAAGTTTTCTACCTCAAGACATTTTAGTAAAAATGGCGAATGCCATGCGTTTCATGGGAAAGTTGTAACATCTCTCTTTTTAATAATGTAATTCTTTCAGTTGTCTGTCTGCAAGGTTGGGAAATAATTTAGTTAGATACATTAAAGGTCCAGAATAAAATTCTGTACTCTCGGTGAAATTATGCAATTTGGAAGAATGAAAAAAGAAAACATAAACCAAGAAAAACAGGCAAGCTAATTTATTTTTTAAATTACACTCCAAAATTGGTATGTAAAAAGATCATTTAAAACTGAACTGTTGGCAGACTACAGGTGAAACAGTTTTGTTTAAAAAAAGTCGTAATATCGAAAACTTGGCAGAGGTGTCACATTAGTGTGGTACATGTGAGGACACCGTGTGCCAGGAACTCCTCAAGACATGCAGGATCCTTCTGACCAACTCTCAAGAGTTAAAATCCTGCATAAAGCTGATGAGTAAGCTCTTGATGACTCACTGTGGCAGATGCAGTCTTTAATTCTAGGAGGGTATAAGGGAAGTGGGTGTGAATCTCGAGTAGAGGGGAGCTAGGGATGTTCCTGCCTCAGTGTCTCGGGGATAAAAGTGTAGGTTTTTAATACAGCCCCAGCTATTAGCAATGCCAAACTTCTGTAAGGAGTAAGTTTGACATTACACATCACACATACATTTTATGTGAAGCAGGGTTGGAACACCACCTACTCACAGATGGGTATAATTTTGGGGATGTCCTGCATAATTCATGTGTGGCTTTGATACTTATGAGTAATTCAGACATCAAAGCCTCAACTTAGATAACACTTTTATAACACTAAACTTCCTATAGCAAATAACCCGTGGCCTTTCATTTGAGTTCCGTAAAAAAAAGGCAACTATACCAATACTTTCTTCTTTACTGTCAGATACTTTTCACAAGGTATGCTTGTGTGAAGTACAAGCTAAAAAATACTGAAGCCTGAACTAGAGAAAAAAAAAATACACATAATACTCTTCACTGGGACTAGAAATGTAAATTTTAAAGCACTGGAAAGTTGCTGGGAGCCTCTTTCCCTGTTGCTTCTAGACTGAGAGCACACCAGATACCAGGCTTTTTGGTCTCTCAGCAACATTCCCTTTGCTTTGCCAGTGGCACAAACCTTCACTTTTCAGCAGTCCAATTTCCTAATAAGCAATTTTATGTTCTCTTCCAAGTTAGCCATTATGCATGAAAAAATCTCCCCATTAATAACCGTAAAGCTCCTTTATTGTTCTCCTTCAAATCTCCTTAAAACCTTCTTCTGACACCAAACACTTGTCACTGGCCGGGCCTGTTGCTTTTTATTCTCAAGGCTGTTTTTCCCTTATCCTTCCCCCATGGGTCTGTACTATACACCTGTTGTCTTTCATCATGGGTTAAGATCATAAGCTCTTTGGGCATAGACCATCTCTCTTATTACATGTGTCTACAGTATCCGACACAATGGGACTGTGAGCCCTGAATGGGGCCTCTGGGTACTGCTACGATCGAGTTGATAAAGAATAATGATTTTTGACATGGTGAGTTCTGCAGTTTTTCCCAAGTCATTCTGCAGTTGTTCACGCTGATATAAGCAGTGTGTGTGTGAGAGCACTGTCCTTAAACCTGATATACAGGGTAAATGCTTTGGAACTATTTGCCAGAGAGCAATGACTTTCCTGTTTTGTTGTTAGGGGTTTTTCTGCTCTTGCACGTCAAAATGCATGGACTGACATGCAGCAACTGTTTCTTTTTGTGGGTTTGTACAGAACTAGAGTGATGTGACCCTGCTCTGAAGCTTCTACATCCCGTCCTTCAAACTGCAATAAAGACTGTCAAATAAAAGGGGGTGGCTCATGCGCCATTGGCGGGTGTCAGTTCCCTAAAGGTCCGTGGGGATTCAGGACACAGCTTTTCTCTGATGCAGTTTCCCTGCTAGATATGAAAACTAGTCTCTCTCCCTCCCTCCTCTTGTGTTTAGTCACACTGGCAAGTGGGGGGATGCAGAAAGGCTGCACCAGTCAGATCTGGATTGCTAGCTTTTGTGGTGGGGAAGGCAAGGAGAGCTGCCCCCTCCACCGCATGCCCACCGAGCAGGAGGACGTGCAGAGTCGATTATTTTTAATTAAGCCCCAAGCAAAATTCTCCTTCTCTAGAATTCTGTTTCCAGGCTCCACCAATGACCTTCCTGAACCCCGCTACCTCAGCGGTGCACATCATCATTCACACCAGGCAATCTCTCCCCTCAGCCCCGAAGATATTAAGTTTCTTCTCCTTTTCTCCCTGCCTCTCTCTCTCCCCAACATTCCCAGAAGAGCCTGTGTTCAGGTTTTGCACTCAATTCAAGGGGCTGCCGGAGCGTCCTCTCCCTCGTGCAAGGCTCTGCATCGTGCCAGGTCCTTGAGCTCTGCTCAAGAATTCTTCTGCAAAGGCAGGAGACCTCTGTTCCGTTGCTGGTTAACACAGCTGTTTTCTAAGGGCAAAACCACAATAACACCAATCCTCAACATCATAAGAAAAGCAGAAATCCTCTCTCCCCTCGCCGGGTCTCTCCCGACAGTTTTAAACAACTTTTTTTTTTGGGGGGGGGGGGGGCGGGGAGGGGTGGCTGTTAGGGTGAAAGGAGAACACGTACTTCGCATCGCACCCCCGCTTCACCCCATGCCACCTCCTGGCCCTCTCTTCCCTTCCTCCACCGGGTTCTTAAATACTGGGGCCGAGCCCGGGCGCGGGGAGACCCGGTTCGCCCCCGGAGCGCTCCGGGCGGTGACAGGGCCCTGGCGCTTACCCGCACCGGTAATCCCGAAACTGCCCCTCCGGCAGCGCAGAGGCAGGGCGAGAGTGCTGCGGGCTGCCGGGGCTGGGGGCCAGAGTGGAGAAGGCAAGAAATGCGGCGTGGGCGATAAGGACCCCCCAGACCAGCCCCAGCTCCCGAACTTGACGCGTCCCGCCGGAGCCGAGTTTGAACCCCGCCTGGGACAGCGGCAGCCCGGTTACCTGCGGCAGAGCGGGCCGGGGCCGGGGCTGCGGTGCGGTGCGGGGCGGCCTCGCCTCCGCCTCCCCTGCGGCGGGGCCGGGCCCCGGGCCGGGCTCGGGCTGGGCAGGCAGGGCGCTGCCCGCCCCGCTCCCCCCGCCAATGTCAGGGGGGACTCGGGCTATGCGGGCATCTCCCGAGGAGCCCGCTCCCCGCAGCGGGCGGGCGCGGTATATTTAGCATCGCGTCGCTTTATTCCTCCCCCAAAGTTTCGCCCACTTATTTATTTATTTGCCGGCGAGCGCCGCGCTGCCGCAGAGCGGCAAGAGCCGCTCCGCGCCGTGCCGAGCCCTGGAAGCGGCTTGGTATTGCAGCAGGTAGAGCTGAGCGCTAGGACCTCGGAGAATCCTTCCAGCAGCAATCAGGACTACCTTAAACCCAGCCCAATGCCTCTTCCTGCGCCACTCTGCGTGCTGGATGGAGATCCACAGTCAAGAGCTGCAGCTCAGTGCTGGAGTACAACATTTCACAGGGAGCCCTGCAGAAGCAACACCTGTTTCGAGCCAGCCAAGAAAGACACAAGCACTTGTATGTTGCTGCTTTGCTTGTGGATCGTCAATAATCCTAAACCAGTGGACATCTGCTGAGCCTCCTGAGAATTCTGGATAATAGATTTGGACGTCAAAAGTTTTTTTTTCCTTTTTTCTTTTTTCCTTTTTTTTTTTTTTTTGGATTTATCTCAGCCAACAACGTGAGATTTCCCCCCTCCCCCTTTGCAGGATTCATGCTGATGTATGCAGTCTGTTATAGAGTAAAAACAGCGCATGCCTTTCTGGAATCAGAATCCATAAATCCTGACGTAGCCTGTGCATCTTAAAAAAAAATCCCTATAACGCCTAGGTATTTAAGTTGCTATGATCATTCTTATCTTAAACCAAATGGAGAAACTACGGATTTTTTTCTTTATTACAGTTGGATGGGCTGAAGACCGTATTGCTTGCTAAGAGCTGGGGATATATGCATTTATATAGATATACACATCTATATGTTTATAAATATGTCAGTGTGTGAGTATAAAGTGGTGGTTTCTTAGACTAACTGGTTTGACCTTGAACCTGTACCAGTCAAAAGAGAATATTACTTTTATTTATGCATTTAATGGATTGAAGAAAGAACATTTTCTCTGTAACTGCGCTAGGGAGGGGAGAGGAGTGGAATATACCTAATCTTATATCTCCTGGGTTTGGCACCATCATTATTGTTTATTCTCATTCTCTAAAAGCAGAATCTTCTGATGGCTCCCTTAGGTGAAGTTGGGAACTATTTCGGTGTGCAGGATGCAGTACCCTTTGGGAATGTGCCCGTTTTGCCGGTGGATAGTCCGGTTTTGTTAAGTGACCACCTGGGTCAGTCTGAGGCAGGTGGGCTACCCAGGGGGCCTGCGGTCACGGACTTGGACCATTTAAAGGGGATCCTCAGGCGGAGACAGCTATACTGCAGGACTGGATTTCATTTAGAAATCTTCCCCAATGGTACTATCCAGGGAACCAGGCAAGACCACAGCAGATTTGGTAGGTATTATCCTTAACCCTTTAGTGGTCATGTGATGAAATAATGGGGCAGAACTGCGGGCGGGGGGACGGTGGGGGGGTTCGAGGCGGGCGGGAAGGGGGGTTTGTGCTGATGACTGATCTGCTGAGGGGAAAAATGAGTTGTGTCCGGGGTTGCAGATGTACACGAGCGGCACTACCGCGGCGGAGCAGGAGCCCTCGCCGAAGTCGCCGGGTGTTTAGTAGCGATGTTTGTGTAGCCTCAAGTTCTGCTTAAGAGCAGACGCGTACTGGGAGGTGGTGGTGGCGGTGGTGGAATTTTTGTTCGGGACGTTTCTGCTGAATGATTTGATTTCGAGAGTTTAAAGGGTTTTTAATCATTAACCACGACAATTTAAAATTCACCGAGTTTCCTGGAGGGAGTGGCTCTCGTCCTATACGCAAATTGACGAGGGCTTTTCTTTCGTTTTCTCTGCCGATTACCTGCCCTAGTAACTGCCCGAACTGCACACCCAGTCTGGTTCGCTGCTCGGCGAGGATTCACCGGCAGCGCCCGCCGACCCGCAGCGGTGCTCGCCGCCCGCCCGAGCCCGCACCCGCAGCTGTGCGGCGTTGCCGGTGGCCGGCGGCCCGGGAAGGAGGGAGCGCAGGTGGGGTCCGGAACCCGCCGGGAATCCTGCGCCAAAATCTGCCTTTTCCGAGCTGTGTGGCGTGTAAGGCTGGCAGCGAATTTGAAATAGCATTCCGTGGATTTCCTTTCCAGGGACGCTATTTGTGACTCAGCAGCGAGGGCTGAAGGGCTGATGGCCCCGGCCGCTCCGGAGAGCCTGTGCATGCACACACGCACACATCCACACATGCACATGCACACGCGAGTCCAGTGGGCCTGGAGCTTCTCTGCTGTCAGGGAGTCTGTTAAAGGCTTGGCAGATTGAATGCATGAAAGTAACTAAAACAGCCTGGAAGAGCTGATTCTTTGGTTTTTTTCTTAAGGAGGGGTGAGGAAAATACGCCAGGTTAGCTCACCACGCTCCCAGCTGTTGGAAGGAGTTAACTTGTGAGTGAACTAACCTGACAGCACTTAAATTCGGTCGTAAAAACAAAGTCCTGTGGTGATTTTTTTCTCTCTTTGTATTTTAATGCCAGATGTTGAACGATATCTAAGCTGTATTTTATTGCTCTGTGAAGCTGTTTAGATAATGCTGGTGTTGCAGGAGATGATCTCTAAAGGACTCAGAAGGGAAGCAGAGAGCGGGGGCGGGGGAGGAGAGGACTGAGGCTCTCGCATGGTCGCAGGTTCATCCTCCATCCCCCGGCATCCGCTGCTCCCTGATACTCTCGTGCTGCTTACGGGCTCTGCCTCCCTCCCACGCCGCCCACCCGCCCGGGGTCCACGGGGGTGGGTGCAGGGCGAGGGGGAGCGTCGCGGCTATCCCCGGGGCACAACATCCACGCTTGCTGGCGAGAAAAAGTGCTGAAAGTGTTTCAGGCAGCCGCGGAGTGAGGGGAATTTTGCAGCTAGGCGTTTTCCTTGGCACAGGCAGACGCCGTGCGTGGCTGCTGAGCTACCGCCGCAGGTTCCCCTAGCCCGCTGCGGTGCGGGCAGAGAGCGGCGGGCGCGGCGCTGTGTGGAGCCGGCGAGGGAGGCGCGGTGCGGGGCCGCAGCAGGTGTAGGGCGCTGCGCACCGGCAGCCAGGGCGGTGTGGGGCTGGCGGCCCGCGGGGCCCCGCCGCCCCCAGAGGAGGGCCGCCAGCTGTTCCCCTTTGCAAGGCGGCGGTGACCACATTACTCGCGGCGTCTGTTTTTAAAAATGGCTATCCAGCCGCAGTTTAGGAAGCTGACAATTCCGAGGGGCAGCTCTTTCACCCCTCGCAGCGCCTTGGCTTTAAATAGATTGGGGTTTTTGTCTTTGTCGGTTTGATCTCCCTCTCCCCCCGCAGGACGCGCCCCAGTGACAACTCTTCTCCCATAGAGTGCGCCGGTGATGCCCCTGCTCGCTCCAGGGTCGGGTAGAGCGGGCACGGCGAACCCATGGGATGTGTTGGGGCTCCCGGCTTCTCTGGGGGGAGGGAAGAGGATCTCAGTGCTTTTGTATCGGTGCTGTGAGATTGCTGCTGTGTTTGCGAGAAGGTCACCGAATAGCAGATGCTATTTGGGTTTTGGTGATTGTAAAGTCTTGTGATGATACTGGGGAGGTCTGCATCCCATCTCAGGAGCTGCCCGGGGGAGAGCGGGTTTGCATGGTCTCCTCCGAGCGCGTGCAGGGAAACCTGCGCGCGTGTGCGTGTCAGTGTGAGGGTACGCGTCAGAAGGAAGTTTTCTTTCAGGAATAAGGCGGACAAAGAGAAAACATTAGGGGCTGCGCGTAAACTCCTCTCTGGGCTCTGCCCTGTGGGAATCCCCCTCCCCGCACACATACACACACGCACACACCTCTGGAGAGACATCAGATAAGAGTAATTCTTTTGTGATGCTATGTTGGATGTGTGCCTATTGAATACAGTAAACCGAGCCATATTGTGTGTCTATACTCGCCCGGTTCTGGGAGCCCTGGCATTTCGCAATCCCTGCAGCAAGATGTCCATCTCTGAAAGAAAAGCTCCCCGGGAGAGCCCGGCTCGGTCCCCCCCGTAATGCGATCTCAGGGGATCAAAGCCTTATCTCTCCTGGGTCACAAAAGAATTTTTTTTTTTTGATGCAGTCTCCTTTAGTCTAGGGCATTGACTAGACACTAGAGTCATTGTAAATTCAGGAACTCTGTAACAGCGGAGAGGCGTGCCTCTGTGCGTCAGCACAAGTACTGCATGCACAGCATTAAAAAAATAGGAGCATGCAGGAAAAGGAAAAAAAAAAAAGCTTGTCAGCAGGTGACCTCCGCTCCTCGGGACCTGCTGCTACAAGGAACCGCTGCGTTCATCATCTGCGGGAGCTGCTCAGCCGCCCGCCCTCCCGCCTTCCCGGCCCGCCCTGCCTGCTCCGGCGCTGGGCTGGCGGGGCAGGTTCAGCGCCGGGAGGGCGCGGGGGCGGCTACGGACGGGGGGTCCCTGCGGCTGCCCGCCTCTTCTGCTGCTGTATGCGGCGGGGCTGGCCTGCCCCCCGCCCCGGTCTGCTGGCTCTCCCCAGAGACGGCACGGGGCGGGAGGAAGGCGATGCATGCGGGAAGGGCTCTGGCCCCCGGGACTGTGAATCGTGGGCCAGGTTTTAGGGGGAGGGAAGGGCGCCGAGCGGCCTCGACAGTCTCCCCCGCTGTTGAGTGTTGCAAGGGGAGGGGATGAGGGGAAGAGGGCAAGGGCGCTGTAAGAGCCTGAAACTGAAGCAGGGCCCTGCTCCCTGGGGGGGGGGGGGGGGGGGGGGGG